TCGTAGTTTCATTGAGGGCACCAAATGTTTTGAACGCAACGATGGAACGAGATAGCAAGATTTAAAGCTCTTATGGTAGTGCAGCATAATGGCGCATCTAGCGCTAATTGAGACCGAAAGGGCTTCACTACTATCTACCTACCTACGAATAAGAAGCCGACAAGGATTTGAGAATGTAATATAAAATGGAAAGCAAAAAATTCTTCGCCTTGAGTTAAAAAGCTCTTGTCGCCTTATGAATGCAATGAGCAACACCAAAAAAGAATTTTTCGATTAGAAGCAACAAAAGTCTTAGTGTGTAAACTCGCTCTTACATAACAAGTCAACGCGCTGGTGGTCGCCATATATAGCGTAGTCTCAAATTTTATTTTAGAATGATTAAAACTAAATAAACCAACGCAGAAACTTTATAATATGACTTTTATAGAAAGACAAGAAATTAAAATCTTAAAAAATAGTTCAGAAAAAAAAAATTTTGAATCTAAGGCGTACATACAACCGAAAATATTTTCATTTGTGTTTCTTTCAAACTATTTTTAAAATCCAAAAGTTGTCGAAATTTTGATATCTTAAAATAAACTTCGAAACTAAAACTTTAAGGAAGAGCAAAAAAATTTAAGGCTTGGTAATCTATGGAAAACACAGTATGTTTTAGGAAACTAAAGAAAGTAGTCTGCTAAATAACTGGAACAGTTTCAAGTCAAAAAAAGGATATTTAAGCAATATCGCTGGAGAGCAACAACATGCTTAAGTACAAATTTTGTTTTTTTAACTTTGTTCCTAATATTCGAAAAAATTTCGTCTATATTCTATATGTATACGCGTCTGTTGAAGGTTAATTCTGATGACAGACCACATAAAACTTTGCCACATAACCATAATAATAATTTTTTAACGTTTTCATGTCCAACCGGTCGGTGTTGATCTACTTATATTATTACTTATATCTCAATTGAGCTTAGGCGAGTAACATCGCTAGATTTACCTGATATACACAAGATCATCTTATAGACACCAAATTTGCTACCACTGTTAAACTACGCAGAAAAACTACACAAAAGATTTTTATTTTGCCTCGAATAGTTTCAGGCAGTTTTTAACCCTTCTCTAGTATACTGCGATTCATTGAACGTCTACTTTTACAGCTCTAAGGAGCTAAAAATCATTCAATCATAGTGAGTCTCCTAAGGCGGTCAAACTTGAATAACTAGAGTCTGTTGATAAAAAGTTCCTCATACAAATTTTGTAATCCAAAAACTTCGAAACTTACTCAACAAATAACGTCAGGACGAGTATCAAAAATAAATTGGAAAGGGGCCTAAAAATGCGCATAGTATTCACCTATATAGTATATACCATTATATTAGCCTTTTAGGAAATGAGATTCAATTCAAAAACAATCCTACCACTTTCAGTACACACTGCGAATGTCGGTAAACAAATCAACCGCACTTTCAACACTTCGCAATCATCAACAATCGAAATATTTATTAAACAAATAATGTGAAAAAAATTGTCAACATATTTACTTTACGCCTTCATGTCTATTTACAAAGACAACAATATGTAAATATTAAATAATTTTCCGTTTGTTTACACGAAGTTGCAAATTGACCATAACTGAAATTTTATTAAACAAAATGACATGAAAACTCGACTGGACAGCGCATAAATGATGTGTGAATGACAGAAAACAATTAAGTAAGCCAGATATAATCATAAAGAAAGAGAAAATTATCAAACGAAGAATGGCGTACGAAAACTTAATGTATGTAAAAATGGTACTAAAAATGCTTTTTCAATTAAATCGAAGCATAAAATTGTACAACGTGCTCATTAAATCGGCAAACTCAAGTCACCATATACCTATAGCATGAAGGAAAACATTTAACAAAGGAGTAAGGTTATCGGAAATTATAGGCAGATATGAACCACGGGCGGCACACACCGCGGCGTTTGCGCGTACAGCGTTCGGCAAATACAACGCTTTTAAGTACGTATATATGTATATATATAGGTTGGAGCATCCTCTTGGCTCCTGGTTGGCTCATTGGTTGCGCGCTCCACAGGAATTGGCTGTGGCCACATTTTTGCCAACAATAAACCACCCGCGGTGAGCTTTTTCTACGCACGAGCTTCTTGACGGCCACTGTGCCATGACGCGGCGGCTAGAAATGCCGGGTGCGAGTAGATGCTAGGCAACCCTAGTGCTGCACATTGGTGTAGTGTGGGTAAATAGTTGATAATAAATCAATGCGTTAATGGAAATGAGATTTTTGAGCTTATTGTTCGGTGAAATGTTTAATAAAGGAGTAAATATGTATATGTATTGTATATTGTACACCGTTGCTTTAGTTCTTCAGCTTAGGTTTAGTTAAGGGGTTGATCCTTACACCAAAATTTACGAAGGTTTCCATTTCGGCAACTAAGAACGCTGGTATTTTTTGATGCTCAAAACTCATATATATAGATCTAAAGACCCGTACTATGAACTGGCATACAAATTGAACAATCGGATTCAAGTGCTTGTTTGGAAAACGTTTTCATTTGTTAAGATATTACAAAGAAATTTGGCATGCATTATTTTCCCAAAGCATTAGTTCAATCTTCGAAGAAATTGTTGGGATCGGACAACCATAGCATATGGCTACCATACAAACTGACTGGTCAAAAGCAAGTCCTTTAATGAACCTTTTGTATTTGTGACGGGTATTATAGCTTCGGTGAAACCGAAGTTAAGGTTTATTCTTGTTTTAAGTGGAAATTAGTTTTATTCTCAAAAAATGTAATAAGTTTTTCTTAAGAAATAATTTAAAATAAAAACTTGTCCTTAAAAATTCTGTGCTCAATGTACTTCAAAATTAAAAAAAAATTAATTTAGACACTTTTTATCCCTACACACACCACTGTGCCGCGCCATACAGAGGCGTATATGCCTGCCACCTTAACTTGGCGTAAAGCATTTTGCATTAAACGCGAGGCGCATAAATATACTCGCTTCTTTAATATTTCGTTCATTTCTGTGGCTACGCTTCAATGTCAATTAATGACGCACCGCTATGACGCAGCTGTTGTTGGCTGTTGCACCCACTGTGCGGCTAAACTATTTGGTGGCATGATTGGTTTCCTGTTGATTGGTTTGGCAGCAAAGAGCAAACGTTGCAGAGTAGCACAATAATAATTGTGTTTGTAAGCGGAATGGTGCGGTGTTGTGAGGGGTGCCGGTCCAGCTTCATCTCCAGCAAAGGAGTGTGTACAAGGAAGCTGCCGCTGTTGCTGTTGCTTAAGTGTAGTGAAGCTGCAACATGCGATGCCATGCTGTGTGTTATTTTCAGACACTGTGCTTCTTTGGCTGCATCCTGCATGTGGCAGTCAGGCACACCGCTGCGGCGACGTGTCGGTAAAGAGTTGAAATTAATGTGCATGCGTTGCTGATTTTCAGCCTCTGCACTGCACTACTCCCCGCACCATTGTAAGTCAGCTCTCTATTAGAGCGGCAATTTTTTATAGCTGTTTTAGCCAGAATTTTTGTTGGTATTATTGTTGTGCACACCTTGTTGCGGTCAATGGACTTTCGGGTTGGGTAGCGAGAGCAAGTTTCTTTAGCGTTTCGTTTATTTTAAAGAAATTAAAAAACTTGCAGCTAGTAAAGTAAAATACAGACTTGAAGATTCTACTGAAAAAATTAATTAAATAATTTATAACAATTTAAAAATATTTTTAAAAAAATTTCAAAAAATAAATTGTACAATTTATAGCTTTAAAAGTGTAGGAAATTTTATTTATTTTTCTAAATAAATATTTATTAACATTTTGCGTATGTTGAAAACTGAAAAATTTTTTGAGAGTTTTATTTTTGAGTCTTCAGTCTTATAATTTCTTTTTCTAAAAAAAAAAAATATTCAATATTTCATTTTTTGAGCTGGTGTTTTTTGATGTCTTTTAATTAAGTTAATAAATTTTAATTCCTCAAATATAGTTTTATTTCTAAAAAAAGTTAATAAAATTTCTTTAAAAAAATTGATTTATAAAATACTTTCTAAAAAATAGCTGTCGGCTTGTTTTGCATTACAGAAACAAAAATATAAATTTAGATTTTAATTTGGTGTTGTTATTTTTTTATATTGTTTATATATATTTTATTTGCATTTTGTTTAACTATTTTTCACTTAATATTAATTATTTCTAATTATTTTATTAATTTTTTTACACATCTTTTCGATTAAAAAGTAAACATTTTTTAAACTAAATGAATGTTTTTTTCTAAATTGGATTTTATTTGTAATAATTTATAAATTTCAAATTTAAGTAATTTTTTTCTGCTTTTTATATTTTACCTGTTATTTTGAAAGAAAACATTTTTAATTGTTTAATAATTTATATATGAAAAGGAAGTGAAAATATTATATATTAATTTTTTTTATTGAAATATTATTGATCTTATGAATAGATTTTGACTTGAATTTTAATTAAATCATATTTTTTAATATTATTTTTAATATTTTTAGTAAGTTTTGTAATAAACTAAAATTAAAAATTAAAAAATTAAAATTTAATAAAAAAATAAATTTTTAATTTTCATTTTATTTAAGATTTAATAAGAAACAAATTTTTAATGTTCATTTAATTTTTTAAATTTTTTGTTTTCTATTTTTATTTTATTATTTGTATGCTAAATTCAGACCCAAATAGTTTATATTTTAAATATTATTTTTTAATTGCTATTTTTGGTTAAAAAATGTTTGTAGTTTTTAATTAATAATAATTTATATGAATTGTAATTAGAAATTAATTTTTAATATTTTTATTGAAATAAATTAGTTTTAGTCTATATATTATATGATTGTTTTTTTTTTAAGAAATAATTTAGTTTATTTTTTTTTTTATTAGTTATAATTTGTTATTTTATGTTAAATTTTTTTAAGTTAATATACTTAATTTTTTGTTCTATTGTACATTCAAACCCAAAAACATTTTTTTTACTTCGTTTTAATACTCACCAACATCGAAGCTGTACGCCAACGGCACGAACTGCAGCGCCACTGTGCACACTAGAGCGATTTGTAGTAGTCGATAGTTGTAGTTGCGGGAAGAAAGGCACTGTTGGGAGAACATTTTGCGGGTGTTAGAGTTGTTGCGCGGGTGTGAACTGTGTTGATGGAGGTGGTGGTGATGAAACTTTGAATTTCTACTACTGAGTGTGCTTAGAGTTGTAGGTGTTGTTGTGTGGCTTGTAGTAGTAAGCATTTTTATTTATTTTTTTATTATTTTTCCAGAGGGTTTCAGTTTAAGTGTAGCTTATATTTTTAGAATTACATAGATATTTTCACAGTATAGATAGCCTTTTGTTACTCAATATTTCGCTATTTTCGTTGCAAAAAGTTTAGTGGATATAAATCATAAGAGGCAGTGTCGATATTTAGATTTTCTGAAATGAGAAGATATATAATATTTTGTTAGAATATTGCTTTAGTTCGAGTTTTAATAGTAAATAAAATATTTTTTAAGAATTTTTGATAATAATTTAAAGAATATTTCAATTTAATTAGCGCTTTCACCATCGTAAGCTGCTTCAGCGTAAGCTCCTTCAGTGAGCTTTTTGTGCTTAAAAAACTCTGCTTGACAAATCGATTTTGATTTTTTTTCCCTGAGTGGTAACAGCTATCGCCACCACGTGGGTCAAGTACCTAGTTATCGAGAAACTACAGCAATTTGCTTGCTAAAAATTACAAACAGACTCGTTAGCAACTTTGCAGACGCTTTTTGTTGCAAGCTTTTATGACATATTTATTGCTGCTATATTTTGCCTTTATTTCTCTCTCACTATTATTTTCGCGATGTAATTTAGCCATATTTACTCGAATTTTTGCAATTTCTTCACTTTTTATAACATTTGTTGCTTTTTTACTTGCAACGCTGTACCGTTCTCGTTGCTTTTATACACTGCACAGGGTATAAATTTAAGTTTTCCATGTAGCTTTTAACTATATATAGAAATATACATATATAAATGAACAGCGTGAGCAGCTGAGTCTACTTAGCCATGTCTGTCTGTCTAAACGCAAACTAGTCAGTCAGGTTTTCTAAACATCGGCCTGTAATTTTGCACATGCTCATTTGTCGAAACCGCTAATATAGGGCAACTATATGATATAGCTGCCATACAAACTGATCGATGAAAGCTAACTCCTTGTATGGAAAACCTATTTAATTGAAAAGATATCTTTACAAAATTCACTATATATTATTATCTAAGACAACGGTGCGATTTCCGAAGAAATAATGAGATCGAACTACTATAGCGTATAGCTGTCATACAAACTGGCCGGCAAAATCAAGGCATTGTATGGAAAACCGTTTTATTTGACAATATATTAACGTGGAATTCGGTGTGGCTTATTATCCAAGTCAACGATACAATCTTCGAAAACATCGTTCAGATCGCACGACTAGAACATATAGCTGCCATACAAATCGACTAATCATAAACAAGTTCATGTATGGAAACTTTTTAAATTGTGAAAGGTATTCCAACTTGGGTGCATTCAAAGTTAACGTTTTTTCTTGTTTCTAAAACTTTTTTTTCAACAAAATCTTTCTTTTAGCCTACATTTCTACATTCTCTTTTTACATCCACTTTTCTACGTCAAGATTTTATTACCGTCAACCATGGCTACTCGTTTTAGTTGCTGGCTGTTATTGTTGTTGTAGCTGTAGTTGTTAGTTTTTTTTATTGTTGTCGTTTTTTTTGTAGGTGTAGTTGTTAATGTTTTTATTGTTTTTGCAACAGCGAAATTAAAGCAGAGCAACACCAACACACAGCAACTGCTTTCAACTACAATTTTATGTATGGGTATATATATATATATATATATGTGTGTGTGTGTAATGTTGCAACGTGTTGGTCAGATGTTGATGGCGCTTATTACACACCTACTTACATACATACATGCCAACTGACTGACTGATGCGCGGTGTAATCTTGGCGTTCACTTGCTATGCGCTGAATTGGCGCTTCGTGGCAGGCTGTGGCAAGCAAGCGGCCAGCGTAACCTATTCACTCAACACAAATGACTTGAAAATGGCAACAAACCAGGTTAGCTGTCTACTTTGGTTGTATGTGTGCTTACGGTAGCGCCGAGATGCACCGCTTTTCTTCCCGTATTCTATAGGCATATTTGCTTTAGCTCTATTTATAAAAAGTGCAACAGTAGCAGCAGCTAGAAAAAATGTTGCAAGTATAAGGCAGAAAAAAAAGGTGCTGTATAGAACAACCCAGCTAAATAAAAGCGACTCTGCGCCAGCGCGTCAAGCAATGTTGGCGCTTTGACTAAGTTGATGTGGGAAAAGGCGCAACGAGTACGAAACGAAAAAAAAAAATTTATAAAATTTGCCAAAGCTAAGAAAATGGTTAGGAAAAATATAAGAACAGTGCATGTGTTGAACTCCTAGGTAAACTAGGAAGCTTTTGTACTCCGGGCTGTGTATTTGTGCTGCCGGTTGGCGCTTCAAAGCCGAGCAAATGAAGTTGAATGAAAAGCGCAACGTCAGCATGAATGAAAATTGCATGAAATTGCCACATGCCACATGCCATATAAACGAGCATACACCCTCATACATATGTACACATATGCGCGCTTTATATGAGCGCTTTATACTTCCTTATACATATTCATTACGTTCCATAATACTTGTAGGTATGCCCCGCCGCCCGCTACTCGCCAATTGCTGCTGACTTTAGGCTTTACGCTGGCTGCTTCTCATCAAGCATGTTTCCTTGCCTACAATGTGGCGGCTTAATTGAACTTTCTAATGGCAGGTTTTGTTACAGTAAATATACACATGTATGTGTGTGTATAAATATGCATATGTAGGCGTGTGCGTGAGTTTGTATGCTATTTTGTGGGCTCAACAATCTAAAGTGTTGGGTAGCGCTGTTTTTAGGGCGTTAGCAATTAGCATAGTGCATTAAAATTGAGCGGTTTGAAGAGAAGACCAAATTGGTTTGGAACAGATACAAACAAAATGCATTTGTGTTCTCTATATAGCGCTATTGAATTCGAAGAGTTCATTCAGGTTGGAATCTATGAAAGAATGGACAACATTTTTGGCTTAAGAAAACACCACCATACCCCAAGAAAAGGCTTCTTCTATAATGCGCTGATTTCGTAGTCCCAAATCGATTATTTTAGTCTTATCGATCCGTTCTTTGGTCACCTTTCAATCGAATTTATTTAATTACAGTATTACCTCTTCATAATTATTTTCATTCATATTCACTGCTTTGCTTTGAATAGTGGGATCTGCACCAAAACCCTACACCTTTTTCACCTATTTGGTTCTTTAAAATATTGTTACAAAAAATGCGGAGAGAGTAATTTTAACTTACACACTAATATGTATTTAAATAGTGAAAGCTCTTTGACAAGTCAAGTAAAGTGAAAGCATTTTTGCAAAATAAGCCTTAAAAACAATTTTTCAGTTGAAGTTTAAATAATAATCTTCTTAATCAAATGAAAGCTCTTTGGCAACTAAAGTTTAGTGAAAGCTTATGCAAAGTTCCAACATAAAAGCTAGCAGTGATGAGAATATTTATAAACTTTTAAAGAAGTTCAACAAATTTTCAAAAGCTTTCGAAGTTTAAGAAAAGCTTTATTTGAAAAGTTTAAGGATCTTTTTCAATACTTTTCAAAAATTTAAAGTACATATGTACGTACTTGTATCTTAAAAAATTTGCCCGTTTTTTTCGAGTCACATATCATTCACTTTGAACAACCGTAAGCTCTCTGGAAATATCCTTGGTGATAAATAATGAAAGCTTTATGCATGTAATTTCTACCGAGCTAAATGCTTATAAGGTTTGATTCAAAAAATATCGACTACTTATCAGGAACCCCGTTAATAAAACTACAGGTAGAAGAGAGAGTGTCGTAAACCAAATAATTTTTTTTAAAAAGGCATAGGTCTTAAGGCTTTCACAGTTTGCAAGTTCTGGCCTTGTCACTGTCAACACCAAAGCCTCCGACTCTGTTTTTTTGCGTTTGATTTCGTTTTCGTTTAGTTTTTGAGAGATTTCGTCTGAAAATCTACAGACCTCCAATTGACTTACATTTTTTATTAGTACATTAGTGAGTTTGCTTATTATTGACACACATTAATTAAACCCCTGCCAAGAACTCACTTTTTTAACTAGAAATTTTACTTTACCTCAAACTTAATCTTGTGAAAATCAACGCAACCTCCAACCTAACCTCACTTAACCTAAACTCCTCGGCATACTCGTATTTCATGTGTTGCCTTTCTCAGCAATTTTCTAATAAAGAGAAACGTGCATACCAACTACTAGCATGAAATTACTAGATTCCCAGTCAATAAATTAACAACAAAACTTTGCACATTTCATTGTTGTTGTGGTGGTGGTTTTTCTGCCAGCAAACGTGAGCATAGCACGGCACAGCAGCTGAAGTTGAAAAAAGTGGCAAGTGATGGAACAAAGTACTGTCAATAATTCTTCGTTTAATTGCAACTTTCCAACTGGAACCGAGAGCCTACAACAGCAGCAGCAACAACAATAAAAAAAGAGTCGTGTATGCCTTGGGACTGTCCTTAGCGCGGCTAGGCATTTGCAGTTTAGACGAACTATGGCCTCAAGCCAAGCAGACGGCTGACGGCAGCAAGCGTAGCGCTGAGGTGGATTGTCAACAATGCTTGCAGTAAAAGCGCAACGTCATTCAATTGGTGCCATCAGTATTTTGTGCCGATTTTCCTTTCCTTGCCTTTTATCGTTTCGCTATATATGTATTTTTTTGTGCCTGACAAAGTATGCAGCACTGCAACTCGTCTGAAGTGATGGTCGTGTCGTATCACAGTTACATCTTGGCAGCAGCTGGTGGATACAGCTCGATGGAGGCAGTTCGGTGGTAGCTGCAGTTGAGCCTGAGTTGGATTTCGGATTTTGCCGTTGAGATGGTAAACAATTTAGTGGAGTTTTAGTTAAAGTTCTGCCTTAGCTTAGGCTGTGTAAGCATTTGGCGCTTGCTAGGGCTAGGCGGCGCTGCTGTGTCCTTACTTGCCGATTCGTTTTTACTTGCTACAGGGCGTGGTTGTTTTTTGTCGGCGTTTTCAGCTTTGAAAGTTGAGACAACTCCGTCGTATTGGCATAAAGATAGATGTCGTAAAACGTGTGACTAGCGTAAAAAAGCAGATGGCTAGATAGTTGCCATTTGCTGGGTGACGCTTAGGGGAGGGCGGTATATGTGCGCAGGTGGGCAAACATTTATAAATACAATATATTGCAATCGTAGTAAGTACGCGCCAGCGCTAGGGTTGCAACGTCGCTTCGCATACCTTATACACTTTATGTTGTTTTTGTTTCGCGCGCTTGCCACACGTTTAAAGGCAGTTAATAAATAAAAGTGCGGTAAATGT